GGGGAGAGGACTAGGGATCTCTCTGGAACCTTTTTTAAATTTAATTAATTTTTAGAGAGAAAGAAAGCACGTGTGTGTGTGTGTGTGTGTGTGTGTGCGCGCGCGCGCGTGCGCGCATGAAGGTGGGAGGGGCAAAGGGAGAGAGAGAGAGGGAGACAGAATCTTAAGCAGGCTCCATGCTCAGCATAGAGCCCAATGGGGGGGCTTAATCCCATGACCCTGGGATTGTGACCTGAGCAGAAACCAAGAGCCGGACGCTCAACCAACTGAGCCACCCAGGTGCCCCTCTGAAGTCTCACTTTCTGAAGCCCTTCTGAAGGCCTCACTTTCTAATACCATCCTATAGGGCATTAAGATTTCAAAATGTGAATTTTGGAGGGACACTAACATTCAGACTATAGTAGTCCATATTCTTCCCTCTGGAGCAAAGCAAACAGAATTACTCACGCTTCAATATTTTAATCTTACAGTAGAAAATAGCATTATAGAGCTGAAAAGGATCACACAGAATAACAAAGCCCATCCCTTTTGAAGAAAAAAGAAAGAAAACTCAAAAGTAGTCATAGAGGGCGTACATCTAATTGCATGTTAGGGAGCTATTACCAAACTCCTCAGACTGACATTTCCACTGATTCTTAGGTCTTTTTATTATTCTATTTTACTGTTATCATGTTACTCACCCAGACCATGTATATTAAGATAATAATTTCTTGATTAGCTTTTGTCTGGTGAAAGTTAAACAATTTTGCTAGACTTTACTGATGACCACGATATTCAAAAAAGGAAAAAATAGCAGTTTGTTTCTCAGTTAAGAATTAAGATAATCATGATCAAGAGATGTCTACCCAAACCATTAGAGCACTAGGTAAAGTAGTTTTTCAAATATAAAGATACTAATCACCCAAAAAATAAAAAAAATAAAATGGAATGGAAGTGAACAGTTGTACACCCGTGCACAGAGCAACACAGTACTAACACATTACTAACATTACTAACATTACTAACACATTATAACACTTGCAGAATTTTCCAAGTTCTCCTGGAGCATCTAAGTAATCACAGACCACAGTTTTTACCAAATTCTTTGCCACTATAACACCTGTATTACCATTTTTCCAGCCTCAAACATCAGTTTTTTTTTTTCTTTTTTGCCATTTGCTGTCCAGCCTTTAAGACAAAAATTTCAGCCTCCTGTTGTAGCAACACTTAACTTCTTGGATCAATTTCTATATTCAGCAGGATGCAGTTTCAAATAATCCCCACATCTCAGGGCCTTAACATCTGCAAAGGATTATTTCTCACTCACACTATATGATCACTGTGTTGTTAAGAATGCTTGGTTTACACTGGTCATTCAGGGAAGGTGAATGACGAGGGCTCCAGCTAGATGTAAACTTTCAGTTGCTACGAGAAATGAGCTCCCTTCAGTGCTTCTCACTGACAATTAAATGCTTCTACTTAGATGTGACACGTGCCACTTTCACGCACATTTTAATTCGCCAAAGCAAGTCATGTGGTCAGAGGGGGCAGAAAAGTGCAAAACCCTCCTGTGTCTGGAAGGCAAAGTACTGGAGTAATTGTGAAGCCCTAATGAACACCAGATTTTCCAAAGTCTCCTTCTGCCCATTCCTCTACTCATCGCAGAAGACTGTCTCCCTTATATTTTTAAATAAAGCTAAGCTTTTGGAAAATATTATCCCAAGATGCTTCCCATCAAAAGCATACAAATTGTGTCACTAGAGAACAAATAAAATGGGGAAATAGGAGCTAACATAAATATCATATTACTTGATTTTAATATTTTTTAAATTTATTTTTATTAAAGCACAGCCCGTGCACAATGTTACATTAGTTTCAGGTGTATATTACTTGGATTTTTTTTTATTTTTAAAAAAATTTTTTTTTCAACGTTTATTTATTTTTGGGACAGAGAGAGGCAGAGCATGAACGGGGGAGGGGCAGAGAGAGAGGGAGACACAGAATCGGAAACAGGCTCCAGGCTCTGAGCCATCAGCCCAGAGCCTGATGCGGGGCTCGAACTCACGGACCGCAAGATCGTGACCTGGCTGAAGTCGGACGCTTAACCGACTGCGCCACCCAGGCGCCCCTGGATTTTTTTTTATGCCTGGTTATGCATATGTTTGCTTCAGATACAAGTGAGTGGAAATGATTTTTCATAACCCTTCTGTAAAATAGAACAGTGTATGGAATTAATCTAGGATTTAAATTCTTAGATCTTGTTCTTTTTAATTATCAAAAGGGCTGAGAAAGGGATTTTGGAAGGGAAGTTCTATAAATATTCTTCCCTTTCCCATTTAGTATTTTCAAATACAATCACTTTAGTCTCACCCCCGGCATAAAAGCCCGTGTGCTATAGCAGCTCTGTCTTTGCACAATTACAGAAAGAGACAGGAACCATTTTCCTCAACGTAGAGACATCTATCACTAGGAATCAAGGAAGAACTCAGCCCCACAGTTACAAAGGAAACAGTATCTGACAGACATCTGTGAATTAAAGCAGCTACATGTAGGTAAAAGGTAGGTTTACCAGAACAAAATGGCACGTCGTACTGCTAAAAATGCTGCACATAATCACACTGCAACTTAGGAAAACTTTCTTTGCATAATTTCTTCTCCAGTACAGGCTGTCCACACTAATCACTGTTCCCTTAACTGAGGCAAAACCAAAAGAAAATACCTCTTTTTGAGTGGGTAACACACAGTGTGTAAATACCATCTTTTGTTACATTTGAAACCTTGCCAATGATTTTTGTATGTTATCTCCTAGAGCTAAAAAAACAAATTCCCTTTATACTCGCTAAATCCCTTTTATCCAAAAAGTATGAACAAAACAGAAGATTTCATTACTTCCCACATAATTTCCATATTCAACTTTTTGCATCAGATTTTGCCTTTTTAAAACCATGAAAACTGTTGACAAGATAATCTAACTGTATGGAAATGGATAAAATAGGAAAAATATTTTTAGAGTGGCTTTTAAATTTTCCTCCAGTTATTTTATGTTCTCCATGATGTGAAATACCACTTTTGAGATACAACAAAAAAAAAATCATGTCTCAAATATATTATCTAATAATCAATAATTTTACAAAAACAATGACTATAAGAGTGTGAATTTATTGAACTGAATTGCTCTCCATTCAAGAATATTATCTGTCAGTGACTAATTAAATTATTTTTATAACATTTAAAATATGCTTTAGGTTATCCATTGTAGCTATGTTATCACATTTGTCAAAAATAAACCCATTTGTATAAGAGCAATTGGTAATATATAGACCTGAGTAATAATGTTCAAGGAAAACATACTAAGATGCTTAAGGAATAATCCAGTATGGATTCCTCGCCTCTGAAACATCAATTGCAATTAAGAGTAGCTAATGACAATCAGAGGGGTCTTGAGATTACTGTATGCATGGCTCACTTTTGCAAATAGTATGCATGTGACCTGAGTAACTGGCCATATTGAACAATAAGCAGCAGCCTGCCTTTGAAGGTGCATTAGATAATAGAAAATTTATGTAACCATAGTAAATTAATATTGTTTTAAGATAGATAGCCCATAAAATCTTTTAATATTAGTGTCTATCTTCTTTTAAATTATGACTCTTAAAACCTCTATAGAGAATTCTATAGGATAGAATGACTCCCCAGAATATCACATTCTTATAGAGGACCATTACCTAAAAAAGGATTAAAGGTAATCATTTGGAAATTTGCACAGTGATGTATCATCTGTTCTCCTAGAGGCAGTCTAGTATAATGAATAATAACTGGATCTCTGCAGTCAGAGACCTATGCTTATAATAATAATGCCTACCTTATAGGGTTGTCAGGATTAAATGAGTAAATACATAGAATGTTAAATACTTAGCATAGTGGTTGGAGCAAAACATATCTTCAAATATTTCCTATAGTTATTATATTATATATTATTCAGACAAGCTACATGGGGAGCTTTCACACAGGAAAAAAAATATGAAGGTCAAATGCACCATAAAAATAGGCCACACTTGACTCATAGAGACAAGGTATAAAAAAAGTCTACAAAATCATACTCATTTTTACAACACTATTTGAAATACATTTTGTTTACCTCTAAGAATTGAGTTCAGAATGCCATATATCTCTACCAACATTTAATTCTAGTGTTAAAGCACAAAGATGGCTTAGAATGTTTATTTTGCCCCATGATTTTTATAGTTTGTACATGAAAAGAAGAAATAAACCCCCAGAATTAAATCTAAGAACAAACAACTTTTTTTTTCTCTATCATTTCAAAAGCCAGGTGAGCAGGGTGGAATTTATCAGGCACAAGTGATCATCCATTCCAACACTCTGTGTGTTAGTGCACACCTTTTCAAATATTAGGTTGAATCTGTACTTGGCCACTGCCCTTCTTACTGTCTATTCTTATATCTTCTGTTTAAACTTCTTCAATTACACATCAATAGTATTGACTCTACAAACAACAAAGTTCCATAAGACATGGATTTTTTTTTTTTTAATTGCAATGATTGGTCTGGAGAGCTAAAGGAAATTACATGAAGAAGGAATGCCAATGAGCCAGATGTGATTTGTAAATAGGTTCCCTCTCTGTACAACTTCTTCAAAGCAAAATTATATCCTGTCAAATGTACTGGAAATTTAGAATTTACTGGAGACATTTTTATGGCAGATTTCATTGATGAAAATTATAGCTTGTTTTTGCTGAATAAAAAACTTACTTACCTCTGGTAAAATACGTATTATTTTATTAGTAAATGTATCTCTTGAAAATGTGCATATGCAACAATGTGTAAGCAGAAAGCAACTCATAAAATAATTAGGATTATGGTTTCAATCATCTTAATGGAGCATAATATCCACTAGAAATGGCTCTCTACATAGAATTCTATATATCTAAAAAAACTACATCCAGCTCAAGTTCTTTGTGAATGATGGAAGGCTAAAAATCGATAAATGAAACACTCTCTTACCAGAATAAAATGATCCTAACATTTCCTTTCTTCCAGAAAGCTCTTGCAGATTTTCCCCAATCAGGATAGGGTTTGTCCTGAAGCATCATATCCGTGACCTGAAGCCACAAAAGGAACTTATTTAGCACTTTCAGAAATCTTACATTCAGGTTTAAATATGGATATAACTTATGCTTTATTGAGAATATGTAAGTATTTTAACACTTAAACATATACAGAGATAAAATTAAGAAGAATATATTTCCTCAGTTCAATTTTTTTTTGCAGTTCATTTGACTTTACAAAATGAATGAGCAGATTGAAGGTCGTCTAACACGTCAAGTACTGAGACTTTTTTAGAAACATCGATCAAGATTACCTTACATGAGAAGGCATCTTTAAGATACCATGAACTTCTTCATAGAAGCAAAACATACATAACAAATAAAATACCATACTTTTTGCTTGTCTAAATCAGAAACTCCAAAATCTAAATATTTCTTTGTATGTACAGATTATTAACTGTATCACTAGTCAAAATATTACTTCCTTTGTCTGGTTTTTTTTTTCAGTGTTATGTGAGGAATGGGACTTGACCCAGTTTTACAGCATATTTTAATAGCCTAGCATTCTCCCACCTCCATGCCATCTGCAGTCCTACATCTTTTTCCAAAAATGTTCTACCTCTCTTTCTCACCTGCAGATTCTGCCCATCTTCTGAGGCCTAGGCAAAGTCACATCACCACTGTGATGCCCTCACTGCCCCTCCAACTAGTTCTGGATCCACCTTTCCGATGTCCCTTATTGCTTTCTACTTTCTATTTGACTTACTTATGTACATTTGTTCTCCCTCCACTAGGCTTTAAAATCCTTAAAGGTGAAGATTTGTCACTATATCCCTTTGAATAGCTAAGGTTCTTTTATATAAAAGACTGCAAAATATTTGCCTAAAGAAAAAATAGCAAAATGATTTGATATAAATGCTTGTTTTTAAAAATGCATTAACAAAATAAATTTCTCATTGGCCACATCCCACATTAATGGTTTCAGGAAATGTCCAAAGTATTATACACAACCTATTATAAGAGCATTTTTAAAAATGTGATGGGATGGGTAATGAATTTCCTTCTTTCCTCTAATAAAGGAAAACATATTTGGTGTATGTATATACACACACACACACTTCTTCCTTTTTCCAGGAAATTTACCTTCCCTTCAAGAGAAGAGGATATTGTTCCATTAATGGGATTTTTATTTATTTATTTATTTTGAGAGGTTAGAAAGAGAGCATCAACATGAGAGGGGCAGAGAGAAAGGGAAAGAGAAAATCCCAAGCAAGCTCTGCACTGTCAGTACAGAACCCAGTGCAGGGCTTGAACCCACCAAGAGCGAGATCATGACCTGAGCTGAAACCAACAGTCGAACACCTAACCCACTGAGCTACCCAGGCACTCCTCATTAATTGGATTTTTATTTAATGACATTCAAATTCAAATAGGGCCAATTCAAAATTAAGAAAATTTATACGGAATCAGATATACTGAATTGAGTAACGAAGAATTTTCATCATCTATTAAAAAATACCTCTTTCTTGGTGTTAATATAATATTGCACTCACATGTAACTTCCAACAATGGCCTGACCTGGAATGGGTGAGATTTAATCATTTATGGTGAAAGATTTTGATTCGGTGGGGAGTCCTTCTGGATCAATGACACCTTCAGTAGTGCTAGACTTTCTGTGGAAGGCACATCAATTCTCAAGCAAGCCCATCTTATTGTGCTATACAACATCCAAGAAATGGTCTCTGGAAACATTCATAGCATGCAAGAACACAGGCTCATTTGAAATGCAATCAGAACAGAGGTTAAGGAGCCCAGTCTCCAGGAGATATTCAATCTTAATTCTTTATATTCTTTCTCAACATAATTTCTTGGACTAGGACTCCCACATTACTCCTGGTTGATGAGAACCAAAGAAAGTTCACTGATCTTCATGGAGTAACACTGCAGATTTATGCCAGCTCTAACATAGGGCTTACAATAATTTTGTGTGAGGTAGCTTTGAATCTTCAAATCAACAAATGCCATAAATAGTTTTAATATGAACCCTCAGTTAACTCTTTGAAATCATTAATTATATTGATAATTGTGAATGCAACTAACATTTAAAATTCAAAAGGGAACATTGATTTCACTTTTTAAAAAAATTTATGATTTTCTGATCTATTTTCTTCTTCCCAACAATTTAAAATTACAACTTTTTACTTTCTTACTCTAATGTACATGCATTGTATCTTCAATCAAATAAAATTCATGATATTTGTCAAAATGAACAAAGGGAGATGATAGAATAAAATTTAACCATGGGGCACCTGGGTGGCTTAGTCGGTTAAGCGTCTGACTCTGGATTTCATCGCAGGTCATGGGATCAAGCCCCGTATCAGGCTCTGTGCTGACAGCATGGAGCCTACTTATGATTCTCTCTCCCTCTCTCTCTGACCCTCCCTCATGTACGCTGTCTCTCTCTCTCTCTCTCAAAATAAATAAAAATTAAATTAAATTAAATTAAATTAAATTAAAAATAACCATGAATCAAGTGAGTTACACTGTTACTAAAAAGTGAATGAAAGCAAAAGTAGAAAAATTTAAATCGCATGTATTCTTGGGCATAATAAGAGTTTTATATCATACCTTCCCTTGAGGAAAGAATTGTTATTCTTCCAAACAACAATTTCATCCACTACTCCTTTGTAACTTTCTTGAATAGCAAGTCTTGTGTCCATTTTTATTTATTTATACAAAACCTCAAGGTTAAGTAAATACTTTAATAAATATTTCATGTTATACCAGCTTCTTAAAAGATTTAATTAATTCTGTTCAGCAATATTCACCCTGTTCCAGAAAAAAAGTCTACACGGTAATAAATATTTCCAAGGAACAGAATGATTACTGTGTAGATTTTATTCAATTTTCAATGTTTTCTCCAGGGCACTTTCTGAGAAATACTTATTATATTTTCTAGAAGAAGGCAATCTGCTGCTATATGACCAATAATTATAGCATCATGTTTTGTAAAAATGACATTGAAGGATAAAGAATTTTCTCAGGAAAATGACAAGATGAGGCAAACCCCGCGCCCCC